TATAAAATCTGCACTTAAGGACAGTGGAAGAATATGTCTAAATACCCAATGTTAAAGCAGCTGTACTCAGGACACTAAGGTCAAGAAATGTATATAGTAAATGTGCAGCGCTCAGGGTCATCAATCAATGGACTGTACCTATCTGGATATTAAATAGTGAGCATTTAAAGCCTCTAATGAGTATACTGCCAGTTTAGTTATCCTGGTGGCAGGTCGTGAAATATTAGGTGCAGAATCTCTATTCAGTGCAAAAGTGCAAACAATCTATATGTAAATGCATATATCCCACAATATTTAACACACTTTGAGTGTGGATATAAATGCCTTGTGATAAATTGAACTGTGAGACCGTTATTAGCAACCGTTATTGGCAAGGGTTTTCACTGATAGAAGGCTCCCTTCTAGGTCTGGGACATACAGTACATTTTTCACAAGGATACTCTATTTGTCCTCTGACGGTGTGATGCAGTTCAAGAATCCTTGACCATTACCTTCTGCAGTAATACTTTTCCTGTTTGATAGGAAAACTTACTTTGCACTTAAATTAATTTCTGTGAAGATCTTATCACTAGTCATGTGACTTGTTGCGCCTGAGTCAATACACCATCCGAGTGGTATACAATTCTTAGTCACTTTCCAGGTAGCGCTCCATGATGTGCCTGCAGTTTCCTTTGTGGCTGCCTTAGCTCTTTCTATTGTAGGTGCATCTCGTTTTCTCTGCTCGGCTTTCCAGATCAAACAAACAGTCCTTTTTCAGGTGCCCAGTCTACTATTGTCACGGTCTTACCTTGTCCTCATGGTGGCAGCCATTTTGGACATGTGCAGACTGCAGTCTCTTTTATATCCTCTGATTGCATCATCGCTTGCCTGCTGCCTGGGTGTCGCACAGTGATGATGTGGCAACACCTGACTATATCAGTCTGCTCAGGATTCAGGTTCATTGCCCTTGCGTTTGTTACTTAAATTAATTTCTGTGAAGATCTTATCACTAGTCATGTGACTTGTTGCGCCTGAGTCAATACACCATCCGAGTGGTATACAATTCTTAGTCACTTTCCAGGTAGCGCTCCATGATGTGCCTGCAGTTTCCTTTGTGGCTGCCTTAGCTCTTTCTATTGTAGGTGCATCTCGTTTTCTCTGCTCGGCTTTCCAGATCAAACAAACAGTCCTTTTTCAGGTGCCCAGTCTACTATTGTCACGGTCTTACCTTGTCCTCATGGTGGCAGCCATTTTGGACATGTGCAGACTGCAGTCTCTTTTATATCCTCTGATTGCATCATCGCTTGCCTGCTGCCTGGGTGTCGCACAGTGATGATGTGGCAACACCTGACTATATCAGTCTGCTCAGGATTCAGGTTCATTGCCCTTGCGTTTGTGCTCCAAGGTGCATCTCTGGCGATCTGAGTTCCTTCTTTGTGTTATTCTGTGTATGATCCGGTTCGGCTGACGTTTCCTCTGGCTCTCGACCCCGCATCGGCTTGGACCACTACCTGCTTTGGACTAGACCCCGGCTTGGACGTGATCCCGGCTCGGCTGATGTACCCGCATTGGACTTCACTGGCTTGTTCCTGACCTCGCTGCTCCCTGATTAATGTTTATTTATGTTCCTTCAAATAAACAACTTTATTTTACCTGCGCTTCGTGTGGTCTGGTTTCCTGGCTCTCGTGACAACTATATGCTCTACTTTCTTTGTTTTGCTTTGCGCTCTCATGTACCTTAAGGGTTTTCCTGTTTTCTTCATTCTGCATATTTTCTTTCTGTCATATTCATTAATTAATTTTCCTTTGGTGTATTCTAGTATTAGTTCCTGTTCAAGTCTGGTTTCTAGCGCGTTAATAAGAGCACTGTATGACTCCGGAAGGCTGCGTAGCAGTAATGCCACCAGGTGGTTATCTTTAATTTCCTCTCCAATTGCACGTAGCTGTTCTTCGATTTCCAGCATGGCATACACATGTTCACACATTTCCTGGGCTTTTCTAGCCTCATCTTGCATAGCAGATATAGTTTACTGTTTAGGTTTGAACGCTCATACAGTTTTTGTAATGTAGTCCACATACCTGTATTCTCTTTTCTGATGTGGATAAGCTGGTCATCTTCCACTTGCAGACTTTTAATTGCTTTTGCTTGCCTGTTCTTCTTGTCCCATTCCTCCGTGGGTCCATTTCTGGGTCTGTGTCTACTCAGTACTTGCCACAAGTCATCTTTGCTTAACAGCATTTCAAGTTTGAACTTCCATAGCCGGTAATTGCTATTGTTGAGCTCTGCAATTGCAAACTTCATATCTGAACTACTTGCCATCTTTCCGCAGCTTGGATGCAGCAGTTGTTGACTTCCAGTATTCTGTTCAGTGTCTGGGCCCATAACCTGTTGGTTAGGTATTTAGATGAAGCACTGAGACCTTGAGTTATGCTGAAGTTAGTTTTACTCGCTTAGAAGAACATTACATCAGAATATACAGGAAAACAGCATCAAACATAAAACATATAGATCATAGACAAAAGCATGCATATAGAGAACTAGCATACACTAATATTTTTATTGTACACAGAGGGATGGGATGCAGGGTAACTAAGTAATTTTGATAATAAAATAAATTAACTGAAGCTCCCTATGGTCTGTCAAGTACCTGCTGCTCAGTTTTCCTGTTCTTTACGGAGGAGCATCTTCTTTTAAATGAAAAAAAACCCCACTCCTGCATACATGCACATATGGACAGAAACATGTTCTGGGTTTGCCTGAATTCCAAAACGACAATTACACCACACATGTTGGGTATCATCACACGCTGGAGTGATAGCAATATATCTAGGGCTGTCATTCGCTGTTAACTCTAGAATTATGACCAGTAAAATCTTTTAAATTCTCGCCTATGGACAATTTCGGGTACTGGAGTATTTTGCCATTCCACAGGCACACACAATGTTAAAGCTTGACATGTTTGGTATTGGTTACTCGGCCCAACCTCCTCCAAAAAATAAAGTATTTTATATTATGTTTTAAAATAATTTCACATTATTTTTGCTGAAATTTTGGGTGTAATAAATTATATTATGCAACATAAAAACATGTAACTGCCACCATGTTATTCTACAAGGTCTCTGCTTTCAGAAAACAATATGATTCTGTGGGGTTTTAAGTAATCTTCAAGCCTAAAACAGACATCCCAACCTGCAAAACCTTATTTCAGGGAGGTGCCCGTCTCATTTCAGGGAGTTGCTCTTTCTGTTTTTTTTTTTTTTTACAGCGGCCGCCGTCTTACCTCTCCATTTGGCTGCTATCCAACTCTTTAGGTCTTCCAGCTGTTGTGGAACTAAGTCCCATAAGGCATTGCAAGACTGACAGTTAAAGGCATGGCTGCTTTAAGGCGGTGTCAAATAAGTGCATCCATTGCTAGGTGTCATTGTTTCTGCCCACAGGCTAAATTTTATTTTGAGAAGTAACAGGGTACTATTAAAACATGATTGCAGCAAATGGTAGTCTTAAGGAAAAAACCTTGTGCTTTTCACATGTTACTTGACCAGTTATTCAACAATAAAGGGCATGTAGCAGGCAGGACTGGATCTGAGACCGCTGCAGACAGGACGGATCCCGACATTACTGTCGAGATCCACCCAGCTGCGTGATTGACAGCTGGGTCTGCCTATCTAGACGTAGAGCCAGCTGTACCCGCCCCTTCAGCCAGTCAGCGCTGGAGGATCGGAGCAGGGAGGGGGGAATCCCTGCAGGGAGCCGTGAGTGACAGTCACAGCTCTCTACAGGGACATGATCGATAAGTGAGCGAGCGACGGTATGTGTTCGCTCACTTCCCGATCTATTGAGCCGACGTGTGACAGTTTAATTGTCACACGTCAGCTCGAACTATGAGGTTGAGTGAAAATCACTCACCTCATAGTTCTCTATTAAGCCCAACCGCACACCTAAAACCTAACATGGTGGCTGTTCAGGTATGTACCTCATGCCATTGTCACTGTTTGCTTTTTTTTTTTCAACTTTATTTGGAGTGTACATACAGCACACTCTATTCAGGTCTGCATTTTTTCCCAGCGCCAGACACCATAGATCACACCTGCGTTGCGATGTGAATGTGGCACATAGAAAATAATTGTTTTCTATGTGTTCTAGTGGTGTCTGGCATTGTTCAGTTGCTGAAAAATGTCATTCACTGCATATAGTGTGAATGAGCCCTGGTCTATTTTGGCAGCTGGGGCCGTACAGATCCGTGCCGTATCTGGCCGTTCCTGAGGAAAGACAGGTGCTGCGTATGAGTGTACGCAGCAGCCTGTTCTTCTCTATGGGAGAATGCGTCCATACGCTGTCGTACGCTCACCCGAGCTGCACACCCGTTCGGGTGTCCATGCTCGTATGCAGACAGCATCCATCCTGTCTGCGTCCGAGTACGGACACCCGCGCGGATGTGCAGCTCGGGTGAGCGTACAACAGCGCCGCCCCCTGGGGAAAAACAGGCTGCTGCGTACATTCACAAGCAGCACCTTGCCGGGAACGGCCCGATACGACCGTGCACGCCGCACGGTTCTGTACGGCCCCACTCAACGCTGTGTGAATAAGGCCTAAAGCCCCCTTGTGAATGGAGCATTAGAATCGGCAAGCTGCAATATATATATATAACATTTTTGCTCCTGGGTTTAGGGACACTTTTATCAAAAACAAATTTTTACAGACGGAATAAAATCACTTACAATAAAACAAAAATGACAACCATAAACAAAACAAAGATCTCAGTATGAGGAGGTGAATATTGGAGATTCTGTTGGTAAATGCAGTTTTTGTCATGAAAAGAACACGTTCAGCAAACCTTTGGAAGACGTGTGTGTGTGTGTGATCTCCCTCGGGGCTGGAGGTGGGGAAGATGAACTTTGCTCAGACTTAGAACTTCCTCCTCCCATGTCCAGCCTAGACTCCAGCTTGGCTGTCACTTACTGGCTGGCTATGGAGGAGTGTGCAGACAAAGGAGCCAATGGGAGATGGTGCTGCACAGTCAACACCCAGATCCTTTAAATCATAGGACATATACTGTATATATATATAGAGTGATGTGATCCCCTCTGCCTTGCCACTCACAGGATCCTGTTTGCCAGCTCAGTGCCAACACACCAGTAAGTGCATTTAAGGGGTTAATATGTTTTGCCAATGAAAGCGGACCATGCACACAGTCATTATTTTTGGAACGTGGTTGAAGTTCCTCTAAAATGTGTACTGCATGGCTTAGTACATTAGGCTCTGTCATATTCTTAGCTTTGCCACAGGAATACAAAAAGTGTGGGGGGATTCAAAAAGCATTTGAGACACTTTTCTGGCATTATGAATGTGTTAGAAAGTCCTGCGACTAAGGCTAGGTTCACATATCGGCGTCCCGGGACCGTGTGATCGTGCACGATTGCACACAGCTATTGCTGCGCAGCCCCATTGATTTCAATGCGGTTACGGCAATCGCTGAAAAAAGGTTTCTGCGACACAAACTGCGTGATTGCACGGGCGGTATCGTGGCGGGAAATCGCACGATCTGCCTGGTGCGACTGGGGTGCCATTACAAAATAATGGCACTGGCAGCGCGATCGGTGGTGGTGTGCGATTCTGTGACCGCATTCTGTGACTCTTTGTGAGGAATGCTCTGCAACCTCCAGGGACAGAAGCATGCCTCTGAAGCTGTTGTAACAGGAAGAAAGATCTTTGAAGAAGGGAGCAGCAGTACATGCTAATTTCTCTGGCAGGCTGGAGAGATGCTCTGCAGTGGTTGGGGAGCCTGGAACCCACAATGCTGCTCTTTGGAGCAATGTTCTGCAACTTTTGGCGATTGGATCACTCTGCAGAATTGCTTTTCAGCTAAGGTCTCGTTCACACCTAGGCGTATTGCATATGCGCGTCTGTCGCGCGACCATTTCGCTGGAAAAAAGTTGCACTACCGTCGTGCGTTTCCGAAGGCTACTTGGCTGTATCCCAATGGAAACGCGCAACAAAACGGCCCAAAGTAGTACCTGTACCTTTTCAGGCGTGGGCCGTTTTGTAGCGCGTTAGGGACGGGCGGAAATACGCCAAGGTGGGAACGAGACCATTGACTACAATGGGATTTATATTTTAGAGCGTTTTGTAGAGCGTTCGTCGAGCGTAGAACGCGCTACAAAACGTTCAGGTGTGAACGAGGGCTAAAGGCTGTTGCAATGCACTGTAGCTTATTGGTAAACTGAGCAATGTGCTGCAACAGCTGCAGATGAGAGTATTTCTTCATTTGCATCTGCCAGAAGCTGTAGCAATGTGGGACAGATCCTTGGCAGGGAGCAATGGTCTGCAGATGTTAGAAATTAGAGCAGTGTTGAAGCTAAACTCCGGGATAAGCAAATATTATGTAAGTACAAGAGTTATGTGTACTCATACTTGAATCTTGGTGCACTTTTTGTATTTCTTCCAGATCTGTGCAGCAAACCAGTGTGAAACTTCCTGTAATAAAGACTGGACACTGCTGCTCTCTCTCCTTGTGCAGGGTAACTTGTCTTGTCTCCACCCCTGTAGTTTTCTGCAGGCAGGCAGGCAGTAGTGGGTGGGGCCTGCTGGGCCCCTCCCACAGCTCAGCTCTTTGCACAAGTTACGTACATCATGGTGATGATGTCAGTGGCACGTTTGTATGGTAAGATCTGGGTTTGCAAAGGTGTTTGATGCACACAAAGTAGATTTATATTCCCTGTGTCAATTAGGAATATATTTAAATGAACATTTTTGAGCCTGCAGTTCAGCTTTCAGTGAAGAGAACAGTGCTGCCGATTTCTTTGATTGCAACTATTTGCAAGCATTGCTCTACATGAGCTAGAGAGCTAGAGATGACTGTATTAATTTCCATCTGTTGGGCGCTGTAGAATTGCTTTGCAGCTCATTGGAAGAAGGGAGTAATCATCTGCAGTTTATTGAAGGAAGGACATGCAGCTCTTTGCAATGTTCTGCAGCAGTTGGATTTAGAGCTTTGCTCTGCAGTTGTTTCGGTCAAGGCTTTGATGTTTTGCAGATATTGCAGAGCATTGTGAAGGGCATAGTTCATGGATGTGATGTTCTGCAGAGATCAGGCACAGAACTGCTGATCAGAGGATGTACAGACCTCTCGCAGGCAGTTATGGGAGTTTGTTCAGCCAGTTATGTGAAGATCCTGTTGCGCAACTGTGACAGGCCTGTTTTATGTGGTGTGTTTATCTCTGGCCATGACTGCCAAACTTTATAGAAGGCCTTCTGTTACATTATTTATATTTTTTTATTGCATGATCAGGCCTCACAAAACTGCTGGCTATCCACCCACTTCTCATACACTGTATATAGAAGTATATTTTAGGTGGTAAGAACTGGGGATAACCCGAGTATAAAACAACTAAAGGTACTACTATAGACCAGCATCTCTCACCCGATTTTACCCCTTAAAAGTATGAAAAATCTCCATACACCCCGATACAAAATGTAAAAAAAAAAAGTGTGGTCCCTCCAAAATCCGTACCAGACCCTTATCCTAGATAGGGTTCAGGTATGGTTTTTAAGGGGGAACCCCCATCCAAAAACATAAAATGTGGAGTTCCCTCCTGTACATCAAGACTCTCACTTCAAATC